GCCCTTTTTTGAACTTTTTCTAATGCCAGTATATCTTTTTTGAGATGAGGAGACCACCTCTGTACGCAGTATTTAAGATGTGGGGGTACCTTATATATGGGCAATAAGATATTCTCCGTCTTATTCTCTAACCCTCAGGGAGGCTCATTGCAAAATACAATGTAGACATTAGAAAGGTAGACACTGGATGAATTCCCAGGAAAAGAAAGCCCAAAAAATGTCTGTGTGAGGCCACCACACACTTCTACCATGTAGCAGTCCCCAAAGAATTGGTATATTGGAAAAATACCACCACTTCAAGACAAAACAGCGGATACACTACTTTGACAGTGTTATTTCTATGATTTTAAAGAACATGTATTCATAAGTATTATGATCTGGGTATCTGATTCTGCAAAATGCTGACTACTTTTGTTAACTCCCACTGCTCTTGGCAGGTTTTACTGTACCACAGCTGACTCTCAGGGCTTGTCCACATAAAGTTTTTGCACAAAGTGAAGTCAGTCAGTGCAGCCCTCTAGTACGGAGGCAGTTACACTGGTTTTTAAGTGTTCACATCAACGATATCTATTAGGGTGACCAGACCGCAAGTGTGAAAAATCAGGACTGGGGTGGGGGGGTAATGGGAGTCTATATACGAAAAAGACCCCCAAATCGGGACATCTGGTCACCCTAATATCTATACAAACTTTTAAAATCTAGGTACACTTCACCCCACCTCGGCAGGTGCGGGGGGGTGGAGTATAGGACTTCTTGAGCTCCCTTACAGCCGCACCCAGCTCTGATCCTACACTGAAGCGACAGCCGTCCGAGGGACTTGCCCCAATTTGCTACACGAGGTTTCCAGGCGGGAGGCGCGCTGGGAAGGACAGGGAGAGCCGGGAGCAAGGCGAGACGAGCGCCCAGCCAAGGGGCAGCCCGCAGGGCGGAGGGGAAAGTCCAGCCCCGCCAGCCGCGAGCGCGATGCGGCTCCGGGGCAGGACCGAGCCCGAGCCCGCAGCAGGCGGACGCCGGGTACCGACCCAGGCTGGCCCGGGCCCGTGTCTGGCGCTCCGGCGAGGCACCCCCCGCCCGGCTCCTCGCAGCCCCCCGGGGCCCGGTACCTTTGCGGAGCTCCCGGTGCCACACGGAGACGATGGGCCCGGCGTGCTTGCGGTGGTGGATGAGCCACAGCGACAGGGTCTGGACGCTCTGCTGAGAGTTGCTCAGCTCCGAGAGCTTCTTCTCCAGGGCCGACTCCGAGAAGGAGGACATGGCGCCGCCCGGCCCGGCCCGGCCCCGGGGCCTGCTCCGCCCGGGGGGGAGGGGGAGGGGGCGCGGCGGGGCCTCACCAACAACAAACCGCCACCGCTGTCACAAGATGGCCACCCGACCTCTCACCCCGCCTCGGCGGGTCAAAGGGCCACATGCTACGGGTCGCCAGCGGGGAAGAGCGACCACCCGTGTGTCCAGTTATAGCTCACACATCGCACCGGGCCAGAGGCGGGCGCGGGAAAGCGGCGCATGCGCAGCGACGCCAGCGGAGCCTTCTCTAACCTTTACCCGGCGCCAGCCGAGGACGCATGCGCTGGATGCGGAACTGAGCCCGATTTCAAATCTCCGGCACGGCGCAGCTCCGCATGCGCAGTGCGCTCGCCTGAGACTTTTCTTGTCTCTCCTTCCTGCCTAGACAAGCTGGGGAGTTTTTTCACGGGACTCCTGAGCGGGAGGTCGGGGGTTGTTCACGTTACTTCCGGCATGTGTGAGTGTGACTGGAGCAGGTAGGAGATGGGGGTCTTGGAGGGTCCTCTGCGGCTCTGCCTCCAAGCTGGGGCTCCTGCCCCCCCGCTCCGGGCAGTGGGCAGGGGCTCTGGGGGCTCCTGGCCCCCCCCGCTCCGGGCAGTGGGCAGGGGCTCTGGGGGCTCCTGCCCCCCCCCCCCGCTCCGGGCAGTGGGCAGGGGCTCTGGGGGCTCCTGCCCCCCCCCCCCGCTCCGGGCAGGGACTCACATGAGGG